AAACTACAAAAGAACCCTGCAGCTCGCATCATACTTAATGGCGGAAGACGGAATGTTTTCCCCCAAGTTTGGGGATAAGGCAGAGATGTCCACCCTGACTCTGCCTGTTCAGCTCTGTGATGGAAGTTTAGCCAGTTCACTGAGGCAAGACAAAGAAAGAAAAGGCATATCAGGTTAGAAAGGAAGAAATAAAGCTGGCTTTATGCACAACTGACATGATGGTCCACATATAGAAAATCCCAAAGAGTGTACCAAAGAACTTCCAGAACTAAATAAATGAGTTTAATTAGGTCACAGGTTGCAAGGGCAACACACGGAAACCAATCCTATTTCTCTACCAGTAATGTACAATTAGAAACTGAAATTAAAGAGAAAATACCACTTTCGAGAGCTCCAAAAAAATGTAGGTATAATTCTAATAAAGCACATACAAAACCTTTATGTTGAAAACTATAAAATGCCAATGGAAGCAGTCAAAGGAAACCTAAATAAAGGGCATACGATGTTCATGGATTGGAAGACTCAACATAGTAAAGATGTCATTTCTCCTAAAATTGCTCTATAGCAATTACAATTAAAGTTGTAGCAGGATATTTCTGTACATATAGACAAGTTATTTCTAAATTTTATATGGAAGTCAAAAGAACTAGACCAGCTAAAACAATTTTGAAAAGAAGAATGAAGTTGGAAGAATCAGTCTCCCTGATCTTCTCAGTGGAGAAAAGGTGGAGTTTCCAACAAATTGTCCAAGTTGGAACAATTGGACATCAACATGCAGAGAGAAGATCCTTGACCTAATCTCACATCCTTTACAAAAATCTACTCAAAATGGAGTGTGGATCTGAAAGTAAAATTTAAAACTGTCCAACTGGTGTTAACCATACAGTGAAATATTATGCAGCCGTAAAAAGGAATGAAGTGCTGTTATATGTTACGACACTGATGAGCCTAGGAAACATCACGCTAAGTGAAAGAAGCCAGACACCAAAGGCCACACAGTATATGACTCCATTTATGTGAAATGTCTGGAATTGGCAAATCTGTAGAGACAGAAAGTAAGATTAGTGGTGGCCTGGGGCTGGGGTTTGGTGGAAAATGGAGGGTGACTGCTAATAGTTACAGGGTTTCTTTGGGGGATGAAAATATTATAAAATCGACTGTGGTGATGGTTGCACAACTCTGTGACTGTACTAAAATCCGTTGCATTATAAACTGTAAATAGATGAATTGTGTGGTGTGTGAATTACATCTCAGCAAAGCTGTTATATAAAACATTGCGTATGTACATACTAAAACATTTTCATGAAAGTGTAGAACACATATTTTAAAATTTTTCCCCCCAGGCATCCACTATTTCCATTATTAGCTTTGTTGTTTGAAAAATGTGAACAGTCTACACAGGGCTCGGAAGGCACCACTTCTGCCAGTTTTGACGTGGACATTGAGAGCTTCGTGAGGAGGCAAGAGAAGGAAGGAAAGCCCTTCTTTTGTGAAGATCCAGAAACTGACAATTTAGTAAGTAAAATACATGTTTTTAATTTTTATTTCTTCTAAATTTAATCTGTTTGATAAATTTTAAATTTCTAATTAGAACTTCAGATTGTCTGTGGCTCTGCCGAAGGGGAGAACCGTACAGTTCATGAGATGATTTTCCGTGTGTGACTTGAATGTCGCCAGGTCTCCAGCCTTCTCTGTTGATAATCCAGCAGGATGGCTTGAGCCTGCATCCTGAGTGGGCTGGGGGTCAGCCCCTCCCGTATGTTCAGGAAGGTCCACTGGGGTCGCGTGCCCTGTGTCTTGCTTCCTGGGAACGTGTCTGGACCCACAGGTGTTGGCTCTTCCCTGATCGTGGACCACAACTTTGTTCTCCAAGACAGCTCTGTCTGGAGGCCGGCACTGGTGGTGGGTGACAGACTGTGTGACGACTCGGAGTGGCCTGTGAGCACAGAGCAGGGACGGGCCTATCAAGGGTCCAACACCCCTTATGGCCTCCCTTAGGCTTTCTGTCTGAAGCCAGCCTGGCTCACGCGGGTGCCCCCCTCCCAGGTCCAGTGCTCCAAAACCCTGGGTTCTCTGTGCTTCCCGAAAGCAATGGAGAGTTTGTTGGGCTGACATCACTGCTGTGCCCAAGGGGAGCGGCATCCTTCAGCACCGGGCAGCCCTGACAGCCTGTGTCTGGGGCTGGATTCCCACTAGAGTTGGCCAGCTCCCAGACCAGAACCCTAGGCCCCTCATCAGCAGGACAC